TTTTTTTTTTTTTCATACGAAAAATTCAACTATGCAATAATTTGTAGCAGTAATTGACATACGAGAATATCGCGTGATGTGAATTTACGTGAGTTTATTTTCATTTGATTGACGACAATCCAATCGAGCTCACGTCTAGACTTCAACTTCATTTTCAGATCCATTACAATCACTTACATCGACAAAAAAAAAAGAAATATTGATTAAAATTTCAATTGCTGACGGGATAATTGCCGAGTCAATTTTGTCAAAAAAGGGAAGATTATTCGAGAGTTCCGAGAATTCCGAATTTCAATTTGACGAATTTGAAAATGAGGTCTCGATCCAATTAAAAATACCTACTGCAAAAAAAGAATAACTCGAATAACTCTAATGGAAGCGTTTAACTCTCATTTGGATGAATAGGCAAAGTACAAGGGATGCTTTCAGCCAGGACAGGAAATTAAACCTCGATTCGAATCTATGGACGATCGTTGTCAGTTTTCGTTCGAGCCTAACGATTTATCGCCCTAAATTCTCTAAAGTGATTGACCAGATTTTTACGGTAATTAAATCTGTCAATTGATAAATACGTAGAAGTAATGCCATCTACTGTGATTACCTTGCAAAGTGGTTTACGATATCTGTGCCAAGCACACCTCGCGTAGTCGGGTCTCTAATTTTAGAATTCATTTCGAATTTACTTTCCTTTCGTGACAAAAGTTTCGATCTTTATAAAAGCACGAATCCACGAATCATAAATTTACATTTGTAATGCAGGGATGCCTATGAAACTCTCAATTTACATATTTAGATCACACTGTCACTGAAATATGCTTCAAAGTAGGTTTCTGCTGAAATATAAAGAATCTTTCCCTTTCTATTATATTAACTAACAAGTTGGAACAACTTAAAACATCCGGAAAATAGAAATAAAAAAATAGAAAAAACATAGTAAAAAGAAACAGAAATCTATGGCTACCTTTATAAAAAAATATTTTATCAAAATTAGAATTTAATTCTAATTTTAGATATTTTGATGTATTAAACACTTTTATATCTTTAAATTTTCTGTAAATGCATAGATATTGGCAGTTTAATAGTGAACTAACTTTTTTTTAAGTTAAACAAATTTGTGTTTTTGACTAATAAGCCATCTATTATATTATTTTAATACATTTTTTTGCACCTTGATGCAATAGCATGTAATGCATTATCTATTTTTATCTCTCATTTCATGTTTCTCAGTAATTTCAATAAACATTCATGTTTTACGTTTCTCATTCATTGCTTGGTTTTTAATGGATTGACGTTTTATGCAATTTCTTAATAATTTCCCATTAATTTGTATCAACAACTGTTAAAACAAATAATATCAATTGTAGATTAACTGAGATTTAAAATGTTATGATATAAATATAAGACAGACAGGCACAAGAAATGATTTAAATGATTTGAAACAAATGTGCAAAAAATTAATCAAAACTACATTTATTATTTAGTAGTAAATACTATACATACCTATAAAAAATGACAACGATATTTAGCCGTTTTTAGAGAATTTATGTTTATATTTTATGATTTTTCCAATCTTTCAGTTAATGAAAATCTAATATCCTCGAATGAATAGTCACTGCCGTGAACGAAAGCTTCTTTCCAAGGCTTTTATCAACTAAATACTTTCTTTCAACTAATACTTTGTTCGTTTTTTCAATAAACAAAATTTTAATTCTTCTGTACTTGTTTTATATTTTATATCTATATCATGATCAGATCGTGAATCTCTCGTACATTTTGTGAAAAATTTAAAGATGCAAAAGTGCATATATAAATATATAAAATATTAGGTATAATATAGAAAATTCTTCATATGTAACGAATGCTGTAAAATTCATAAAGAATTTAATGAATGAAAAAACCTCTTCTTGCTCTTCTTACTCTTTTAACTGTATTCATAAAGAGCATTAATTTGCTTAGATGAACATTTCGCAAGAAGAATTTAGTCATAACATTCTACATTTGGAAAACTTCGGCATTTTTAGCCGAAGCTCAACATCACCGCGCTCCTTGCCAGGAATGAATAAAATCGCTTGACAATGCCTCACTAATTTCTTCCAACGACCCTATGAAGTCTATAAATAGCTTACGAAACGGTGTCCTTCGCTCGGTTCGTTAAACTGAACCGAGAGAGTTCGATAGCCCGCAATTCGTTTCCCGCCGAGTCAAGTTGACGACGCGGAAGTGTCGTTACCTTTTGCCAGAACGGTTGCTTCTGCCCCCGTCCATTGCATCCTCTTATCCGAATACGATCAGCTTCCCAATATCCTCAAGTGTTTCAACAGCTGTTCGAAATCACTGTTCTTGATCAGTGTAAACAGCTTATGTTGAGAGCGATCCTATCGACGTAAACGGTTGTCGAAATGAAATCGATAAGATGACTCGACCGCACCAGATCCTTCTGCTGGCGTGACTGGCTTTTCGGGCAAGATGTTAATGAGAAGGTGCTGGGTGATACACCTGCGCAGCTGCGGGGACGTCGAAACGCTCGACCGACCGGGCGCTAGATGGTGTAAAGAAGACCACTACCAACGAGTTCAGTTGTACCCCACTGTCCGACTGAATTACTTCCACGGGATTGCAGCGTATAATTGCAGCGATGTCTACGTAGGCTTGCCGAAGATTCAGCTGATTCAAAGGGAATTTCAAAATTACCTCCTTCATTAGTTTCTTTTTGCGCATAATACATGCAAATTTCAAAATTACTTCTTTCATTTGGTTATGTTTGCACATAATGTATACAAAAATGTATGGAGTGTCCAAGGTACATATTATGTTTGACATAATAATAAATGAATGAATGAGATTTCTGCTTACTTAGATTTTGTTTATTCACTCATCTCGATAAAGATATGAATTTCCATAAACATTCATAGTTTAATTGCACATATATGTTGCAGCAAATTAATAATATACAGAAGGCATATCTAAAATATAATGTTTAGTAAATAAAAGAAATTTCTGCTTAATTAATAAAGTATAAGATGAAAACAGATTTTTCTATAAAATTTTCTACAAATCTGAAGATATACCTTTATGTAGTCCTTTATTTATTCTTTGTTGTGAAATATAACTTTCTATGTACGTCTGTAATTTAAATAGGTTATGATTTGTTATCATCGAAACAACTATATGTATAATGGGAATTAATTATAAAAAATACATACCTAATGCAAAATTGATATTTATAATTATATAATCAAATCCATCTAGAGAAATATTTTAATGCTACATGTTATATTACATGTACGTATTACATATATGTGTAAGTTGGATGTAAAAAGCTCGAAATTATTTTGAAAAAGTATTAAAATTTTGAAGTTTAACTATTAAATTTCGTTGATTACATGAATATTTTGCGCACGTTTTACATTCATACATTAGGAAAAAGGTCGTATGTACTTGAAATATAAATTAACTACCTACATGGTGGGAGAATTCCATTAAAAGTGAATTCATTTAAAGTGTTTTTTGTATTATTGCATATGATTTTTCGCGTGATTATCATCCGATGTTTTACTAGATAACTGTTAACCATCAAACATACGTGCAATCGTTATTTGCATAAGCATTAATGACTTTCCATGACTTACACGCGATATGAACTAAAATACAAACGATGCCACGTTCAGAGCCATTGTCAAGTACATCATAATATCGATTTCAACACATATATCATCAATTCTGTACGCTTTATGTATGTACACATATGAACTTTAATTTCTTTATTTTAACACATATATATAATCAATATATTGTAATTCATATTGCAATACATTTTATGTATGCATAAACTTTAATTTCTTTAACTTATTTTTGAATTAGTATTTAAAGAAATAATTTCACACTGAAACAAAACTACCTAATTATGCATATTGATGTAAATAAATTTTAATAAGTTATTTAAGCAACATTTAATTCATATATTTCATTCGTGCTGTAATTGTAGTAAAATAATACTTCCACTGAAGAACTAAGAATTGAACATTCTATATGTGTAAAATAATATATATGAGGAAATATTTCGAATCTGAAGAGAATTATTAATATTAACATTTATTCATAATATAAAAAGATGAAATGCAGAATAGGTTCTCGAAACTAAAATATGTACTTCGAATTATTATTCAGATAAAAATTTGTCGAAATAATTAAACAAAATAACTAGACAAATTATATAATTTATAATAAAAAAATGTAACAGGTAAATACTTAATTCTCCTTCTGTTTGTTATTTATCTTAGTATCTATACTTATAAGAAATATAAGTATAGATTATAAGAATACTACTTATAAGGAATGACAAACAAAACAATTCATGTATGAAATGACATAATGCTCATGTGAAGAATGACAAATTAGTTAAATTATGTCAAAACTACATATTATTTGGTTTTCATTAATTTAATGGATATGTAGATCTACACAAACACTTAATCAAGATCGTAGTCAATCAGCTCATATTACTTGTTATATAATTAATCTATTTAATTATAGTAATGTAATTATATATCAAATAATACCGATTGTCTAAGTCTCACCATGTGAAGGTGCTGCAAATGGAGACTCATCCTCCTTTTGCAAACAAAAATTTACCAATTTAAAACATCAATTTATGAATAATTTGTTTTTCTATTATACGTTTGCAAAATGTTCAATACCTGGAAAAGCTAAATTTCTACCTAATGCAAAAAGCTAATTTCTGTAAAAATAGAAATTATATTAAAACTTAAGCTAGCTGTATAACTGTAGTATAGTCAAAGTTGTGTAATGAGACACAACTTTGACTATATGACCACAGTTAAAAAACTTAAACAAATGTGTCTCTCATTTAGAACTTTATTTAACCTACTTAAATTAATATTAACTATCCTTAACCATGCATGCACTTACATATCCATAATATCATCTTAAAATTACCATGTTAAATCTAATAACTTAAAACTATCACAATATAACGTAGCACAATCATTAATTGACTTAATCTTTTTTGTTTTCATCCTTGTATTCCGAATAATTACAGAATTAGGGTGCATTGTATTTTAAACATTACTCAAAGTAAATAAAAAGTCACGAAATTTCCATGAAAGTTCATCAAATTGTCCATTAATAATTGTGGCGTTCGTACGTTCTATGCTACCTCTGCAATCAAGGTATAACCTGCATAAAATAAAACGATACTTAATCTCAAATTCTATTAAAAAAGCATACCAGTAATCGACGATTGAGGAAAAATCGACATGAAAAGTTTCAAAGTACACCACACGATTTTATCCTAATGTTCAATGAATCATTAAAAATGTATGTATTACTTAAATGACACTGTTAATGAGGTATAAATAGAAGTAAAAGAATGTTGAAAAAGTAACGTCATCGAAGAGACGCCATCGATAGATTAAAAAAAGTTGCGAACTTGATGCGAATTGTATAATATATATATTATAATATAATATTAAAAATATAATAAATATGTTAAAAATATATTAAATTTTATTAAATTTTTATTATATTAAATACATTGTATTTAATACATTAAATACATTGTATTTAATACATTAAATACATTGTATAGATTTTCAAAATTCAGGAGAAATTATTAAAACATGACGAAAATATTCGCACACTCGATGAAAAATTGTCAATACTTTAAACTTTTATAATTTTGTGAAAAAAATATTGTAGAACAACTAATTTGGTTTTATTTTAAAACGTCTCTACTTTGACAACACCAAGTTCGTTACTTTCAAAAATATTTATTTTTACATCATGCAGCAAGTGTATACGGCAAAATATTACGTGTAATAATTATTTGGTTAAATTATGGGGGACTGGAAATTATGCACTTTTTTTTTGGGTTAGGTTTCTGCTTATATATGAGTACTATTCATATACCTCATCTGTGGTACTATCACTCTCTGGATAAGATGCGCCTCTTTCCGCCATGTTTCCCGCCTAAATGTCGATTGTGAGAAATATCGATTACGTTCGTAATAATCGTATTTCATCGTTGACGCTGTAATTTTTAACTGATTTAAACCCAGTACGCGCCATATTTAATTGACAAATCCAAAAAATAAAAAATTTTCAAATCAAGCGTACGTAAATCTTATTAATTTAATGAATATAAATTATGAAGTAACTTACCAATATAACATAATGCTTCTTCTTCACAATTAAATGTAATTTTTATATCTCGAATTAATTTCCATTGCATTTTTCAAAATTTTAGTTGTAAGCATTATCGTTTGAAACTATCGTTTCACTTAATTATTTCATTTAAAAAAAACTATCATTTCAGTTAATTATTTCCTTCTTTTGTCATTTTTGACAACTTGATATAAGTTTGATAAGTTGGATATAATTTTTATGTTCACTCCGAATTTTTGATTGTGGAGAATGTATAAAATTTTGATTTTTTCCAGATTGATAATTATATGTTATCGTTTTTTTTTTGGCATAAACGAGATATTCATAAATAGATATATATTCACCGTCAATCATAAGGAGACAAGTGGAATAATGGTGGAGCAATATTTTGAACTCGTATAAAATCTTAATGCTGAAATATATCATCAAACTATATCATTAAGTCATTTGTATTTTGTACGTATTATGTACCTATTCGTACATAAAATTTGTGCTCTACACATTACCCAATGCGTGCTTCTTTATATCAAACAACCTTTGCAAAAAAATCAAAGATGATTTAATCTGTGAATGATAATTTTACACATTAAAATGAATAAAAAAACTAATCATATTTAATTTATATAATATGTTATTAATAAAAATCATATTTCTATCATATTTTGATCGATTTTTTCTAATACTTTTAAATAAATGTAAATAAATTTTTTGTTTCAATTTCTATCAATGTTTCAAATCGTTATATTCTTTTATTGATGAAGCATCAGGATTCAATAAATTTAGAGGGATTCAATAAAATTAAAGACGTTCGATTCAATAAATAATTCTCGAAGCAAATATTGCAAAACTGTTTTTTTTTTTTTCATTTTAATTCCTATCACTAAAAGCGCTGCAATGCAAAACCTGCACTAAGTCGGTATGACAGGATGTGACACGAAAACCATTTTTTAGGATCCCGAAAACATGGAGTGAAGAAATACATACATTGCATGTATTCTTTCGGATCCGTTCATATATTCTCGTCTGTGTTCTAACAATAAGACAAAAGGTATAAATACATATATGAATACTCTGTATTAAAATATTCTGTTTTAAGAATTTTCAGTAATTTTATATAAGACATTTATGCTTTGAGTCGTGAACATATGTTATTAAAGATTAACACGTAAAGCTAGAAATGAACCATTAATTAAAGATAGAATAAACCTGGGATGAAATGGGACCAATAAATGAATATGTAGATACAGTGCCATCTGTAGCACGGATAAATACATCACGAGTTAAGGCACGCAACATCTGACGTTCCTGTCAAAAAGTATTTGTATATAGTGGTCGACACAGGTAGAAGGGACAGTATCTTATGAAAAGTTCATCTTGAAAATGTCTGTGAGAAGATAACACTAGACAAAATGAACAAAAATATGAATTCACCGTCGAAACTTACGGAGTTCGCTCCGTTAAGTCCTGAAGAAAGCCAACCTGTTGTAGCTTCCCTATTTTCCAAATTTTTTAACTTCACTAAAAGTAAGATAGTTTGTTTATTATTTCAACATTTCAGTCTTTTTAGTATCTTTTTAGTTTACCTGGAGCAATTTAATTTATTTGTTAGTTATACTACTTTAACATGTACAAACATGAGATAAACAATGAATATTGTAATAAAATAATAAACAATCAATGTATGTATATGTTTAATTTCTAGGTTCACAGAATGTTGATGATTCTACAATCTCTCCTATTACTAATGAGGAACAGAGCTCATCTGATTCTGAATCTTGGAAACAGTCAGAAAGTACTGAAAAATCACCTGAAGATGACGGTTCTAGTATGATGAATTTTCCATTAGATACTCGCGAAGGCAGAAGTTTACCAAATGTGCTAAAACGTATTAGCAACATTGTTGCTTTGAAAAGTAACGTAAGTTGTTGTAACATAACCAATGTTAAGAATGTTAAATGGTATAAATTACTTGACTAATGTACTAATGTATTGTTAATTTAATTTAGAATTTACGTTCGTACAAGGATTCTCAATTAAGAAGCTATTGGATGCCAGATAGCGTGAGCAAACAGTGTTATGAATGTGGTGAACGATTTACAACATTTCGCAGGAGACATCATTGCCGTGTTTGCGGTCAAATATTTTGTTCGAAATGTTGCTCTGATCAAATTCCTGGAAAAATTATGGGATGCACTGGTACATAAATTATCAGTGCTTACTCTTTATTATTTATTCGTACTTCATAGTAATTTTGTAACAGGTGATCTTAGAGTTTGTACTTATTGTTGCAAAGTAGTCCTATCTTACTTACAATCGTCAGACATGAGAAGTGATCTATCCGCGGATTTAAAAGCTTTGCAAGAAGATCTTCAGGTTAAGTATGGAAATGATTCGCCACCTGCAACTCAAAAGTGTTTACATAAATCAACAGAAGATGAAACTTCAATCTGCAGAAAACCAAGTGTAGGATACATGGAAGAAAAATATGCTATTGGAAGGTATATTTTATTGGCTACTTAAATGTCATATAGTTCAACATCATCTAAAGGATTTGTGAAATATAATTTTCAGACCAACAACTTATTTAACGTCACAGGAACGTTCTATTGTCTTACAAAATTCAGCTTCTTTGAGAATGATCTATGAAGAATTATTTAGATCCAGCCAAGCAATTGTTTTACAAACACACAGAGTTAGACTAAAAAGTTACCACAATTGTTTTCTGGCTAATGAGTTAGTAAACTGGATGATAGCACAAAATAAGGCAGCTACTCGGTAAAATTAACTTTAAGAGAAAATACTAAATAATATTAAAAAAAAAAAAAAACAATGACTGAAATATATTTTATAGAGTGCAAGCTACTGCCATAGGAGAAGCATTGCTGGAAGCTGGTTTCATAGAACCAGTCATTGCTGACAATGTATTTAGTGATACAGCAACGATATTTAAGCCAGTGAAATTATTGAATATGCAAAGCATAGATTTGTTAACTGAAACTCAAAACACTTGTGATGCTCAAGAACCGGCATGGGTGAAAACTATTCCACAACATGATTCGACAACTGGTAACAGACAGTTTATTTAAATGAACTACTTCACACATGTGTAAAATTACTAATTTAAATTAAATTAAATTAAGATTCAGAAAGTGAAACGAAACCTTCAAATTCAACACAACAAACGACTGGACGTTTGCCATCTTCTAGTTCAAGTTTTTACTTAGATTTAAACTTAGAAGCATCTACTGTTACGTTAAAGAGACCCACATCAGAAGACTTAACTACAATTTCTGTAGATAGTAGCGACGGCGTAATTGAACAGAAAGAAGTCACAGTGAAATCGCATAAATGTAATTTTAAAATTGCTGATGATCTTTTGAACGATACGCTACAAGTTCAGGAATTTAAAGAAAAAATTGGTTGGCACAAACCAACAAATCTTCGAACCATGTTTGGAGAACTACATGCATATGAATGTCTAATGTAAGTATCAAACACGTATTAATATTAATAACAATAGCAATGCTTGTATTTATAAAATATATTTAATTGAATAGATCTGCATACAAACAACACGAAGATTCACTGATTAAGCAGCTTCTTAATAAAGAAGGTTTGTCACAAAGTTGGTCGGAAGTAATACTACCTATTGCCCACCAAATTATTGATTTTGTTAGGCCAGATTTAAATCATAATGTCGACGACTTGGATATTCGACAATATGTACAAATAAAAAAGTGTCCGGGCGGAAGTAGAGACGATTGTGAAATCGTGTCTGGTGTAGTTTGTACGAAAAACGTTGCACATAGAGGAATGAATGCAATGATAGCTCATCCAAAAATTTTATTGCTTCAGTGTGGATTGATGTATCAACGTGTAGAAGGAAAATTATTAAGTTTAGAACCTGTGATGTTACAGGTTTGAAAAAAGATTTAATAATGTTATTATTATTTTTGTATCATAAACATGTCATAAAGCTGTTCTATTTTGTAGGAAAATGAATATCTAGGTCATACAGTTGCTAGAATCACCGCACTTGGACCAGATGTTGTATTAGTGCATCGTTCTGTTTCCAGATTAGCACAAGACAGACTCAGAGAATGCGGAGTAACTCTTGTTTTGAATGTGAAACTTAGTGTTCTTGAAAGGATTGCACGATGCACAGGTGCTAACATCGTGAATACTATTGATGCACACATAAGTGCAAGGTACATGCTTGGTACATGTAAAAAATTCTATCTGCGAAACTTTTTAAGTGAAAAAAGTGAGTAGTACGAAGTATTACAACTTCTGAAAACTTTCAAAGGGGAAAATGAAACTTAATATTTTATTTCTTTTTTCTTAATAACTTAATATTTTATTTGCTTTAGATGGTATTAAAACATTAATGTACTTCGAGGGATGTGCAAATCCACATTTAGGGGCTACGATTTTGTTACGCGGTGGTTCGCAAACAGAATTGAAAAAAGTGAAGAATGTAACTTCAACGATGATCTTTGCCGCTTATTCTTGGCGTCTCGAAAAGTCCTTTCTTATGGATGAATTCGCAAGACCACCATCTTCTAAAGATAATCCATTTTTGGATGATACGTACAAAGATTTCAAAGACTTTCCAGAAACGAATAAAATGTTACACAATAAAGCTAGTGAAGGAAATGATTTGTTATTAAGTCGCAGCAAAGAATATGCAGATAGTCCAGAAATTTTAAAAATATCAGAAGTTCAGGAAGATTCTGGAAGTGTATCAAGCGATAAACAACGGCTAGAAATAGAACTTTCAGTGAATGGAAACACATCAATGCAAGACATAGTTTCATATCAGACTGAGAATATGTTATCTTCAGGCTCTGTCAAGCAAATATCTTCTATACTATCTGAAGACAGTGATCCTTATGATACTTTAAAATTATTTAAACCTAAAACAAAGTCCTCTGTAATTGATGAAAAGGCTGGCAATTGTCTAACAAGCAAGATAAACGGTGATAATTTAAATAATAGTTCCAATTTCGACATGGATGGCAAAGAAGATCCAAATAGTACAATGGAATTATTTGGTGGCAAAACCACGATAAAGTCGAATAAGAATGTTAAAGAAGAGAATGTTGAAAAATCAAAAGTAAAAGAAAAAATCGTCTCAGAAGAGAAACGTATCTATGGTGAATCCATTAGCGATCGTAGTGATCCCCTCCATCAGTATTTAAACGAAGACGAGGAAAATGTCTTTAATCAAACTAGTCCAAATGGTCAACACTTAAGCGTTGCCGATTTACCGTTACTGAATAAATTTAAGAAAGCATTAGAGGGCACCATATTAAGCGTGTCGCCTTATTTAAAATTTTCTATACCTTACTTGGAGACTGAAACAGGAAGAAATTGCATACTACGAAGTTTCTTCCCAAGAGAGATTTTTTACTCCGCGCAATTCGAGGACAAAGTGAAAGAGATCAAAACGGTCAACGTATTTGCGGAACAGTCTGCAACTGAGAGCTCGCTAATGAAGTTGAAATTGAAACCGCAGCATCCGTTTGTTCAAGCGAGATTAACAACAGACGTAGACAGCCGAGAGGTGCAGGCCTTATTAGCTAATTTTAGAGCGTGTGGTAGCCGACTATATCCAACGAATAACGTCTTATCAGACAAACAAATTCTGGTACAGTCAGAAATAAGCGAACAACTTCCCGCGTGGCCTGATTGTTTGGATCCCGCTAGTCACCAACGTTTGTCTGTGTTATTCTGTAGCTTCTCACACACTGGCAATAATGATACGCCAGCGTTTTGCGTAAACCCTTGGGTAGTTAACATGGATTTATATGGAAGAAACGACATCGCGCTCGGACGTTTCCTGGAGCGTTATTGCTTGACATACGAATACAAATGCCCTGCCCAGGCATGCCGGGCACAAATCGCTCACCATGTCCGACGGTTTGTGCACGACGGTGGATGCATACACATTACTCTGAACGAAATGAACACCGACCCGTTCTCTCAAGACAGTGCGAATCAAATCTTAATGTGGAGCAAGTGTATGAAATGCAAAGGTGTATCGCCGGTAGTCCCAATGTCGGATGATACTTGGTCCTTGTCGTTCGCAAAGTATCTGGAGCTACGGTTTCACGGTAGTGCATATACTAGACGGGGCACAGACACCTGTCAACACTCGCTTCATCATGATCACTGTCAGTATTTCATCAAGAAGAACATGTTGGCCGTGTTCAAGTACACGAAAATATCGCAGTGGGAGATCTCGCTACCGCCGCCGGTAATAAATATCATGTACGATCCGAAACAGCACGCGGACGTGATAGAAGAAATGAAAGGCATAGCGTTGAAGGGGGACGAAGTTTTCTCCTGCATACGAGAAAAATTGACGACCTTGCAGACGGATCTGGATATTTTGAACGCCGCTAAACAACAGTTGGGCAAGGATCAACAGTACTTCAAGAACAAGATCGAAGAGATTCAATTGAAACTGACATCGCCCACGTTGGAAAACAAGAAGCTCGAAGGGAAAGTGTCTGAGAAACAGGTGCAAGCTCTGATGTTCAGGATCGAGGATGGGATAGTGATTCTCAAACGATTGATGTCGGAGGTCGTGTTTACCTGGAACGCGAAGATTTTGGAGGTGTCTGTTAAGAAGAAAGACGAAAGGCCAAGACGGTTCACTGAACGATCGTTGACAACTGGAAGTAACAGCATAATCGATACTGACGGGTACATAACAGAGGATACCGCATCAGAATCGCAGTTAGAAGATCTAAGCCCCATGTCGGCAGACTATAATGCTGTCGACGCCATTACTGCTGTACAGAATGATTTACAAGGAATGGAAGGGCTAGAAAATTCGGACAATGAAGTCTTGGAAAATAATAACCCTGAAGATATCGTTGTCATTCAAGGATCCCCAAAAATGCATCAAAGATCACATTCAGACGTTCTGCCTGTTACTTTCGACGATATTCCAGATAAAAAGAAGAAGAAGAAGACCATCTTGTCGCAATTGTTACCATCCGTTCCTGTCATTCAACCAATACCAAATCCTTTAGGAACTCTGGAACATCACCTACTTCCTCTTGGGTTTGTTGACTATATTGAAACATTTCTATATACAATAATCCCCACAGTACTGACCAATCGTTGGGACTGAAACGAGTTAACCTCAATTAAGCGAGGAAGTATATTTCACGAATTGGCATCGAAAGAAAAAGTGAAGATGAGCGTCAACTAGTTTCACCGATATTGGTGTCATATATATCGCTTATTTCATGTGTCGAGTGTTATGTTTCATGGTAAAGTAGCGTAGAGTGGGGATAGTCCTCAAGAATTGGTGAGGATAAGCGCTGGTCAGTTACGCGAGGACTACTGTATTATATTTTATATTTTCTTTATATTATATATTATATTTTTAGCAGGTTAAAAAAAAATGATTCACGTTTGTTTTACAGATCAGTTGTACCTATAGTAGTATATGAATCAGAGCCTTCGTCTATAATCGCATACGCACTGGATTCACACGACTATAAACATACACTTCACGAACTAATGCGTACGACGAAAGGGCCCGATTTAAATCCCAGCCCGTTGAATAAACGTAAATTCCTCGAGAATAAAGAGAACGTTCCTGACATAACCCAATCTGGGGAATTTAAGCGGCCGTCTGTTTTGTCATTCTTCCGGGGGAACAGCCCGAATTCTGCAAGTCCTTTAGACTCGGACAAAACTATTTCAAGTGTGGATTCTAGCACACAGAATCCATCGGTGACCGCAGATACGGACGAGGATAACAAAACGAAAAAACAACAGAATTACATCGAAGTACAATTCAACGACGCAACGACGAATTTCTATTGCAGGATATATTTTGCTGCACAGTTTGCCGCTTTCAGAGAAAACGTTTTACCGTGCGGGGAAGACGGCTTCACGAGAAGTTTAAGTCGTAGCGTACAATGGGCCGCGAGAGGTGGAAAAAGCGGAAGCACCTTCTGCAAAAGTCGAGGTACAATATTGCAGGAATTTACGTTACACAATAAAGTACATAATGAAATAAAATGACACTCGATACATTGTCCGTTACAGATGACAGGTTCATTATAAAAGAGATGTCTCGATTAGAAATGCAGATATTCCTCGACTTTGCACCAAATTACTTTTCCTACATGGAAAAGTGCCAACAGACGAGGCAACCGACATTGCTAGGGAAGATAGTCGGCGTTTATAGAGTATCTTTTAAAAATAATACAACAAACGCGGCACTTCGAACCAGCGTGCTAGTGATGGAAAATTTATTTTACAAAAGAACGATAACGGATAAATTCGACTTGAAGGGATCGGTAAGAAATCGGCTCGTGAATCCTGACGATATGTGCCAGGAAGGAGAACTCGTATTGCTTGACGAAAATTTATTAAACAGTAAGTGATGTCGTTGTGTGTAATATTATTTTTGTGTGTATAAACTTCTCGGTTAAATATATATATAAGGACACATTTTCTAGTGAGTTGCGATTCGCCGCTCTATATCAGATCACATTCCAAAGCGGTTTTAAATAGAGCCATTGAACAAGATACGAAATTCCTGGCTGACAATTCTGTGATGGATTACTCACTACTAGTAGGTTTAGAGCCAAACTCCGACGAACTTGTCTTAGGTATAATAGGTAAGTTTAAGAGAATTTCAATATTCTTAGTTACAAGATGTTTTAAGAGTGCTGTTTTAATTACAGATTATATACGAACATTTACTTGGGACAAGAAGTTAGAAACAATGGTGAAGAAATCGGGTATACTAGGTGGCCAGGGAAAACTGCCAACGATAATATCACCAGAAGAATATCGAGCTCGTTTCATAGCCGCTATGCACCGATATTTCTTACCTGTACCGGACAGGTGGTACGGTCTAGGCAGAGGTGTAGAAACATGATAAATACATAACTTCCAAATAATGAGATTTCCGATTTTTCACAAATTGTATACTAAGCATACTGTATATATATTTTCTATACGGCTGACATAAATAAGCAGCGTTGCGTATAGAGATATGCAATTGTATATTGATAATATACAAGAATTATTACTAGTCGGCATTGCGATATTTTATAATGGAAAAGTGATAAAAATAAGTTACCATTGTTATAATAGGAAGTCTTGTATAATTTCGTAATTTATGTAGCGATCTAACATTCGAGCTATGGCGTTTCGCATTTGCATTTATATTGGTACATTGGTCATTGTATTACATGTACATAATACGTTAACACTAAAATTCGTAAGCGATATTCAAAGCACAAAGGGCGTGAATGAGAATTACATGAAATTACATAAAAGTCTATGAAAGCACCATTATTAATGTTTTATTTAAATCGTTTCTCAAAATTATGTACATGAACATTATTTATTATTATTGATAATCAAATAAACAATAATAATAATAATATAATAATGATAATAAGAACTTTAACGTAATAGTATTTTCATAATAGTTTAGATCAGTGTTTCAAAATTTCTCAATATTTAGAATGAACATTTTTCTTAAAAAAAAAAAAAATATATATATGTATCTAGTCGTTCCAGTATGATTTTAATACATCGCACATATGTATCTTATAATCAGGTTACAAAAGCAAAGTATAATGTACACTGATCTATACGTTACAAACACAAAAAAAAAAGATATTAAAGCGTTTACCTTACAGAAAAACATTTCGTACTCAATTTTTGCGTAACATTATTTCTACCATATTTACATAAATGAACGCACAGTCATAAAGCTGCAGCGAAACTCGAATACTTGAACTATTCCATCTTTGAAAATTAGATTATACTGATCATAATGTCCCAATGTATCTTTCGAGACCTATACTTCAATTAATTACTGTAAGAAATCTGCAACTGCCCGATTCATCCATCTGAACTTTCTATATGCTCGTTTAGAAAGGGATGATAGAAATGTCTTTCATTTGTTTGAAACTGTGAATCGATGAATAGATGCGCCGTGATGTTAAATAAACTATTGTGAAAACGATAGACATTGAAACTGGAAAATGAAAACTGAACTTTCGGTACACGTCATCGATTAACAGGTGGATAAAAATTACTGAAATGGAAAAACAGTATTTTATTATATACTGGTTAGGTAAATTACAGCAAGCTGTCGTACAAGAAATTTCTGTGGATAATACGAAATCTATGATTAAATCATTTACATGTAAAATACGAAATCTCTATTCGTCCTATTTCATAAATTCAATTGACGATGAAACAGCTCAGTTAATATGGCTCCATTGCTTTTTCCTCGTAGAAAAAAAAAAATGACCTACACTGGATAATACTATCTGAGCAAGTGATCTTTTTCTCATACGTGAACGAGTTTTAAGAAATGTATATTATAATTCTTCGAGTAACTTTACACAAATGCTTAGTGGACATTACATAATCAGTAAATTCCTTTTTACAATTTTTTACATAATAATTCGTCGTAATTTAGTATTCATTATAACATTAGCCTCGTGGTTCTATCTAATCGTCACCTCGAGCATGAACATATTCTTTCTTCTTGCCTTTCGTTAGACTTTATGTCGTTAACATCATCACGAAACAAG